AGTGTGTTCTAACTAATTACTCTGTTCCTATAAATTAGAAGTTATGCACAAGGGTATGATTATTTTCAGATTCAACTTTTTTCAGAAAGTGTACTTCATAGTAATGTTATATGCTTCCTATTGTGTTGAACTACTAAATATTCAATGTCTGCTTGTCTCATCCTTAGATATGCTGAGTATATCAATCAGTGCATTCAACTGGTGAGAGTTTCATTATCAAATGTTGGCTTGAAGTTTTCACCATTGATTCATTACCTGAATCTCTTACACCATTACATATCACAAAAGGGTGATTTTTATATTCTATCATCTCTTTTATATTCATTATCTGGAATTTGGTAGAAAAAAGTCTTTAATCATCTAGACTTGTATCCCTACTTGGAAGAACACTTCACTCAGGTAAGGAAAATTGCACTGAATGAAAAATTTAACAATATAGATAAGAAATGCAGCAAACAGAATTGGAAAAACAAAAATCAATGGAAATTCTAGAAATGAGATGCTCAATAAATCAGATAAAAGACTCAATGAAAATGTGACCATTAAGCTAGAAACTGGGTAAAAAAGATAACATCAGAATCTGAAGACAAGATTGAAGAACTATTATGTTCACATAGCAATAAAGAAGCAAAAAACTAATCATGACTACAATATCCAAGATTTGGAGGAACAAAACTTATGGTTCAGTAGTATAGAAAAGGTTATACTGGTATATTGACTAAAAACAAAAACCAATTATTCAATGAAAAGGAAATGGAAATAGAAAATGCAAGAACCTGGAAGATAATTAAAAGACCAAATGTACAGATCACAGGCTTAGGTGAAGGAGGAGAGGGAAAAACATAGCCAATAAAATAATAGTAGAAAAATTCAAAAATCTTGACAAAAAGTCATCCAGGTATTTTTGACAATCCAAATAAAAACCCTACTTAGATCATATTATACTTAAAACCACATACAGAATAAGGAAAGGATATTGAAAGCTTCAAGATAGAAGTGCCAAGCCACCTATGAGGGCAAATCTATCTAAAGAATAGCAGGTTTCGCATTAAAAGCAAAGAGGTCATGGAATGACACATTTCAAGCCCTGAAAGAAAATGAATGTCAACACAGAGTACTGTATCCAAAAAAGATATATTTTATAATTAAATAAAACATTAAAAATAGTCCATGATAGATAAAACTAAGGAAATTTACAATATTCATAACCAGTAAACTGGTGCTACAGAAGATACTTAATCATATATACTTATATATGCTTATGATTAGGTTAAGAAAACAAGGATTAAGGGAGAATCAAACACTGCAAAACCAATGAACTGGTAATAATTACTACATAACTTTCAAAAGTAACTGAATGTCAATAGTCCCAATTCTCAAAACAAAATTCACAGAATTCTCAAATCAAAATTCATAGAATTTATCTAAAGAAAAAACCCTAAAAGCAAAAAGATTGGCTGCACGACTCAAGTAGCAGAGCATTTGTCTATTAAGCACAAGACCCTGAGTTCAATATCAATACTACACAAGCAAATAAAGACATGAAAGAAGAAAGGAAACTAACTGTACATGAAAGCAGAAAGGAGACTATTTAGGAAGAGGAAGGGTACTGTCAAGAAAGGTAAGAGAATATAATGAAATGTTTCATTTTGTGTCATTCAGTGGAAAGATAGAGTTCCTACAGCCCTCAGATACACAAGATGAGGTGTGGGTCCCACTCTTTCAAATGTTCCATCATGACAATACTTCAGTAAACCTGAAAAACTCCTCCTTTCACTCCTGTTACTCACCCTTAAAGAGGAATTCAATTTGTTTCTTGGTGTCTACCTTTACAACTTCTTCCTGGAAACAGGAGAAAATAAAATTAGGTTTAAATAAGTGAAAAAGAGAAAGAAATAACCATTTTTTCACCAGTGGTTAAGAGCATCTGCACAGGAAAGACAGTCTTCCCCTATCGTGACTAATTTCTTTCTAATTTCTTTTATATTTTTATGGCATTTGACCAGTTGGAAGTCTCACTATTTCAAATGTCCCATCATGTCTGGATATAGCAGCATCCAAATGTGTTTTGAATATCCATTCTGAGCTGAGCCTAATCAAAGTCAGCTTCAACATAAAATGGATCAATCACAGAAAATCAATGGTGTGATCCTATGAAAGAATACTTAGCTGTAACATAAATGATAACACAATTTTCAGGAGCTGGACTTCATCAATGCAATCCCAGCTATAGAAATACTACTGATTCTACTACATTCACAAACTCTCACTTAACTTTTTTTATTTTTTATTTTATTGTTATTGTAAAGGCAAGGTACAGAGGGAGTACAGTTACATAAGTCAGGTAATAGAGTACATTTCTTTTTGAAAAAGTGCCACTCAACCCTCATTTTGTCCAACTTTTTCCCTCCTGAACCCCCCCACAGGTTGTATAGTTCATTTTCAACATAAGGTCTAGTATCACTGCTGCATTTGTTCACCCTTTGTCCCATCATTTCTTTTTCATTTTCCCATCATTTCTGTGCTCCCTCTTGCACTCTCTAAAACATATAAATATTTAAAAGACAAAAGGGACAGAAAACAAAAACATCAACAAGGAAAAAAAGAGCAAAATAATAAAATAAAACACTTGTTTCCACAACTGCCCAATAAATAAGTGGGCAAAAGACTTAAAGAGAAACTTCTCTGAAGAAGAAAGAAGGATGGCCAATAGACACATGAAGAAATGTTCAACATCCCTAGCCATAAAAGAAAT